TTGAAAAATCGCATACTGCACCTTTAAAGGTGCCATATGGAATAATTGAGGTAAAAATATCAAAAAAATGAGCTACACACATCAAAAGAATGAGAAGAAATAAGTGCAATGATGTCATTAAAAAACTGACAAGTTATAGTGCTGCCAAGATATAACCTAAATTAGCATGCTAAATTATTAGCCCCGGCCCGGCAGGTGTCGTAATACCAGTTTCGGCCATGGGAGGCGGTGTGCGGGCGGGCAACGTTACCACCAGCCAAACTGCAGTAACCACGAGTAAGTCGCGCTGGCTTGTGTGTACTTGAACAAACTTGAACCTGATGTCATGTCGTGATGTCGTGTGGAAATACAGCCCACTACTAAATTTCAGTTCAGGGATGAGTTAAATAAATGATTGGTCGATATTATGCATGAGGAATACATTTTGGTAAGTTGTAACATATCTTTCAACAGTGTTCGTGTTCTTTTACCATTAGCTAGTAGAGATGATCAGTTCACGTGCGCTAGGGATCTGTCGTCTAACATTTACAAGCGCCAAAACTGCATTTATTGTTTGAATTGAGTAATAAAATGAACAGAATCTGAGAGCTGAGATCGGTCTCTGTGTCCTTTTCTGTGCATGACAAAATGGATGTGGCGTGAGAGTGTGTGAAAAGTTGTGTGTCTCACGGTGAATTTGTGAGAGTTGGCAGCTCTGAAAGGCGCTAGCTTGGTCCACATCAGGGAATGCTGTCTGTCAAATTAATTCAAACTAATGATAAAAAAATGTAACATGAGCAAAACGAATACCATAAACTAAAAATGCCTGGGCTTTAATTTTCCCATATCGTCGAAATGCACCGGCTTGTCTATGAGACAGCCTAAATAATTTAGTATTGAGATGTTGTTCATTTAGTCTCTAATCTCTGAAAATCTCCAAATGATCCACGTGAAACTGCGGTCTTCCAACCTTTTACTATTAGTTTTACTGACTAATATGCGCGTGGGAGACCCGCTCGCCCGTGTTGTTTGAAGACATGAGTGCGCGCGGCCGCGGAGGTACTTTTCTGGAGGTATACTATAGGGGTGGTTAATCTGTCTGATTTCCCGATTCCATTCGATTACGATTATTGAAGTCCCGATTCGATTACAGTCGATTTTCGATTATTAACGATTCTCGATTACCGATTATTGATTTTCCATTTCACAACAGTAAACGAAAATACACTAGATCAACATATGATTATATTAGCAGCAGCAACATTTTGGTATTAATTGCACTTTTTATTTGTTTGATATTCATTGAAAATATAATGATGGTTAGTAAGGACATGCACAAACATGCTTGTGTCTACTACTTAGGCAACGCATTATCTTTACATTTATTAACTTAAAAATTTTTTTCAAAAGCAATTTTGTTGCATTATAATGCAAATGCACCTGGTTTCTATTAATTGACAGCATTAAAATGTATTTTGTGATTTCCTTCAATTGAGAAATATTTGAAAGCAAGTTTGGGGGACTGAAGGGCACCCGATTCAGAGAATCACCCAGAA